GAGATGAAGTCTAGCCATCCTGGCTTCTAAGAGAATTCTGGTTGTAGTTCTTCCAACACAGATTTGTTTGTTCTTTGGCACTCTATGATACTTTCAATATTCTTCTCCAACACAAGCACTCAAATTCATTAATTCTTCAACAGTCTTCCTTATTCAACGGCCAACTTCCACATATGAGAATACTGAAAATACGATGACTTGGGTCAAGCACACCTTAGTTCTTAAACTGACATCTTTGCTCTTCAACACTTTAAAGAGGTCTTGTGCAGCAGATTTACCTAATGTAATATGTAATTTGATTTCTTGACTGCTGCTTCTATGAGTATTGATTGTGGATCCAAGCAAAATGAAATTTTTAACAACTTCAATCTTTTCTCCATTTATCATGATGGTATTTATTGGTCCAGTGGTGAGGACTTTTGTCTTTTTCACATTAAGGCACGTTTACTACTGAAGGCTGTGGTTTTTGATCTTCATCAGTAAGTATTTTAAGTCCTCTTCACTTCCAGCAAGCAAGGTTGTATCATCTGCATATGTTAATGAGTTTTCCTCCAATCCTGATACCACATTCTTTTTCATATAATCCAGCTTCTCAGATATTTTCTCAGCATACAGATTGAAAAAGTATGATGAAAGGATACAACCCTGGTGCACACCTCTCCTGATTTTAAACCATTCAGTGTTCCCTTTGCTCTGTTCAAACAATTGCCTCTTGGGTTCCTCATGAGCATACCTACTCTGCCATATATCCATATCTGGTTTTATATCAAAGAGAGTTTAAAACGATCTATTTGAAGCTCCTATAGATCACAAGGTCTCGTCCCCTTACGCATGGAGTTGTTATGAGTCAGGGGCCAACGTGACAGCAGCTAACAACAGCAACAGTTAAATATCTCATACCTCCTGCATTCTCTAAACCATTCTCCCCATTTTCAAGTGATGCACCATGCTGATGATACCTGGATACACATGACTATGACACATAGCCACTACCCTTATACCCAGAGAGTAGGTGCCCACAGACCTGACACGAATGTTTCCCTAAAAGGACACTGATAAGCATTAGAAGATGGAGGATGGTGTTTGTTGAGGCAGGAGTTGCCATTATTTGTCTCATCTGTCAGTTTGTTGGACTGTGGTAGCATGCATGTAGGCTGTGACACTGGAAGCTATGCCACTGGTATTTTAAATAACATCAGGGTCAACTATGGTGAAGAGGTTTCAGATGAGCTTTCAGACTAAGAGTAGGAAGAAGGAAAAGAGGGACGACTTCTGAATATTTAGTCACTGAAAACCTTATGAATAGCAGTGGGACACTGTCAGAGAGCAACAGGATATTAAATATTGAAACATGATGAAGAACACCAGAATATGGTCAGATATAGTGCCAGAAGATGAGCTACTCAAGTTGGAAGGCACTCAAAATATGACTGGGAAAGAATTGCATCCTCACAGTTGAGGTGACCATGATGACATGAATGGAATAAAGCTTTCAGTACCCTCATTTGCTGATGGGGCACAACTCAAAATGAAGAGAAACCGCTGCAAGCATCCATTAATAATTATAACATGGAATGTACGCAGTATGAATCTAGGAAAATTGGAAGTTGTCAAAAATGAAATGAGGCACACAAACATGGATATCCCAGGCATTAGAGAACTGAAATGGACTGGTATTGGTCATTTTGAATTTGACAATCACATAGTTTGCTACGCCAGGAATGACAAATTGAAGAGGAATGGTGTCGCATTCATCATCAAAAAGGACATTTGAAGATATGTCTGAAATGCTGTCTGTGATAGGATATCCATATACCTACAGGGAAGACCAGTTAATACAACTTTTATTCAAATTTATGAACCAACCACTAAAGCCAGTAATGATGAAATTGAAGGATTCTGTCAACTTCTTCAGTCTGAAATTGACCACACATGCAATCAAGATGTATTGATGATTACTGGCAATTGGAATGCAAAGGTTGGAAACAAAGAATAAGGATTAGTGGTTGGAAAATAGGGCCTTGGTGACAGAAACAATGCTGGAGATTGCACGGTAGGATTTTGAAAGACCAATAACTTCTTCATTGCAAATACCTTTTTAAAACAACATAAAAGACAACTATACACATGGACCTCACCAGATGGAATACACTGAAATCAAACTGACCACATCTGTGGGAAGAGCAACGGAGAAGCTCCATATCATCAGTCAAAACAACGTCATGGCAGACTGTGGAATAGACGATCAGTAGTTCATATACAAGTTCAGGCTGAAGCTGAAGAAAATTAAAACAACTCCACAAGAGTCAAAACATGACCTTGAACATATCCCACCTGAATTTAGAGATCATCTCAAGAACAGATTTGATGAATTAGACTTTAAAGATCAAAGACCAAAAGAGTAGTGGGATGACATCAAGAACATCATACAGAAAGAAAGCAAAAATTCATTAGAAGACCAAAAAGAAGAAAAAGACCAAAATGGATGTCAGAAGAGGTTCTGAAACTTACTCTTCAGCATAGAGATGCTAAAGCAAATGGAAGAAATGAGGAGGTAAAAGAGCTGAATAGAAATTTTCAAAGGGTAGATTGAGAAAACAAAGTTAAATGTTATAACAAAATGTGCCAAGACCTGGAGTTAGGAAACCAAAAGGGAAGATCAGCCTTAGCATTTCTTAAGCTCAGGGAACTGAAGAAACAATTCAAGCCTCAGATTGCAATATTGAAGGATTCTATAGGTAAATTATTGACTGATGCAGAAAGCATCAAAAGAAGATGGGAGAAATACACAGAGTCACTGTACCAAAAAGAAATGGTTGATGTTCAACCATTTCAAGAGGTAGCATATGAACAAGAGCCAATGATACCGAAAGAAGAAGTACACGGTGCACCAAAGGCATTGGCAAAGAGCAAAGCTCTGGTAATGGAAATTGATGAAATACAAACTGAAATCTTTTAAACAAACTGATGCAGCACTGGAGGCATCCACTCATCTACATCACGAAATTTGGAAGACAGCTAGATGGCCAACTGATTGGAGGAGATCCATATTTGTGTCCATTCCAAAGAGAGGTGGTGGTCCAATGGAACATAGAAATCATCCGACAATATCATTAATATCACATGCAAGTAAAATTTTGCTCAAGATAGTTCAAAAATGGCTGCAAGAGTACATTGACAAGGAATTGCCAGAGATTCCGGCTGGATTTAGATAAGGAGGTGGAATGAGGGATACTATTGCTGACGTCAGATGGATCTTGGCTAAAAGCAGAGAATACCAGAAAAATGTCTACCTGTGCTTTACTGACTATGCAAAGGCTTTTGATTGTGCGGCTCATGATAAGCTATAGACAACATTGCTGACAATGAGTATTCTGGAAAACTTAATTGTACTCATGAGAAGCCTGTACATAAATTGAGAGGCAGTTGTTCAAACAAGCACACTGAATGGTTTCAAATTAGGAAAGGCATGTGCCAGGGTTGTATTCTTTCACCATTCTTTCACTTATTCAACCTGTATGCTGAGCAAACAATCTGAGAAGCTGGATTATATGGAGAAGAATATGGCATCAGAATTGGAGGAAGACTCATTAACAACCTGCGATATGCAGATGATACAACCTTGCTTGCTGAAAGTGAAGAGGACTTAAAAAGTACTGATGAAGATCAAATACCACAGCCTTTGGTATGAGTTGCACCTCATTGTAAAGAAAACAAACCCCTCACCACTGGACCAACAAATAACATTAAGATAAATGAAGAAAAGAGTGAAGCCGTCAAAGACTTCATTTTGCTTGGATCAGCCATCAACACTCATAGAAGCAGCAGTCAAGAAATCAAATGATATATTGCATTGGGCATATCTGCTGCACAAGACCTCTTTAAAGCATTGAAGAGCAAACATGTCAATTTGAGGACTAAGGTGCGCCTGACCAAGCCCTAATATCTTCAATAACCTTCCAGGCATGTAAAAGTTGTGCGTTGAATAAGGAAGACCGTAGAAGAATTGATGCATTTGAGTTATGGTGTTGGAGGAGAATATTGAAAGTACTATGGTCCGTCAAAAGAACAAACATATCCATGTTGGAAGAAGTACAGCCAGAATGTTTCTTAAAAACCATGATTGCCAGAATTTGTCTCTCATACTTTACACATATAATCAGAAGGGACCAGTCCCTGGAGAAGGACATCATGCTTGGTACAGTGGAGAGTCAATGAAACAGACGAAGACCTCCAATGAGAGGGACTGGCACAATGGTAGCAGCAATGAGCTCAAGTCTCCCAATAATTGTGAGGTTGGTACATACCAGGCCGTGTTTCTTTCAGTTGTGTTATAGGTCGCTAAGAGTCAGTACCAACTTGACAGGACTTAACAACTTAGCTATCTATGCTTGCTCACAGGTACTAGTCTCATTAGCACTGCTGCAAGAGGGGTTCGTTTCCTGAGAAGCTTCTGAGTCCCTACAGGTGTCCTGAGGTCATGGGATACACAACAGATCCTGCAGTGCAAACAGAGCCAAGCTGTATGTGGGGCACCTGCGGACCCATCAGGGTAACGTGGCAGTTGGGGGCACTAGATGCTTGTGGTCATCTCCTAAATAGTTCATTTTCTCTAATGGCAAAAATAGTCATACTCAAAGCAGAAAAATAGACATCACAGAAAAGCACAAAAGACCATAGAACAAACTCTGCACTAGCTGCCGTCTTCAAATATCTGTAAAGGTTTCACATAGAAGACAAATGAGACGCAATCTGTTTTCAATATGATGAACATTTTGATGTTCAAAAATCTTCTCTAGTGGCATAGGCCACCACAGGAAGTACTGAGAACCCTGTCTCTGGAGGCATTCAAGTAAAGACTGGATGAATACCTGTCAGGGATGTCATGGAAAAGATCCCAGGAATAGTGGAACATGGTCTTACTGCTAAGATCCTCTTCATTACAGGGAAGGGACCCTACCCCATCCCAACCCGTGACATCAGCCCTTGTGTCAACTCACCCACAGGTGTGTCCTCGCTGATCAGCAGGTATGTATCAAAGAAGTGGTTGATGAAGAAGGGCAGTCGGTTCACCTGGCCTGAAAGTCAGAGGAAAAGAGAATCATTAGTGCGCTCCTATGCCAGCTTCATGCATTCCACAAGATGGTGCAATGTAGTTGGCACTGAGTCTGAATCCAGTGCCACCACCAACTTCCCAAGTCGCTGACAGGTCACTGTCGTGCTCTGAGGCAAATGGGAAATAATGCTCAGTGGGCAGGCAGGTAGCTTTCAAGTCATGTGATCAGCTAGTCTGTGCTGTACAACACAACAGCCATCAGGCCAGATGTGGTTATTGGGCACTTGAAATGTGGCTGGATCCCAATGAGATGTGCTGTGGGTGTAAAACAGGATTTCAAAGACTTCCTACAAGAAAGAAGAGCGGAAAGCATTTCATTTAATAAACTATAGTCAGTATAACCACTATGGGAAACAGTATGGCGCTTCCTCAAAGAGCTAGAACTAGAAATAACTTAAGATACAACAATTCCACTCCTAGGTACAGGAGTACACTCAGGAGATGGAATAGCAGCAACACGAACAGACATATCCACACCTATGTTCACTGAAGTATTATTCACAACAGCAGCAAGATGGAAAAACCTAAGCGCTAATCAACTGATGAATGGATAAACAATTTGTGGTGCATACATACAATGGAATACTATGCAGATATAAAGAATACTGATGAGTCCTTGAAACATCTTACAACATCCATGAACCTGGAGGACAATACGCCACAAAAGGACAGAGAATGCATGGTCGTGCATGGTCTCACTGTTACAAAAATAGCTACACACAGAAAAAGGAATCCTGCCAGCCTAGTGGATTATGAGTTGGGCTGCTAACTACAAGGTTAGCAATTCAAATCTACCAGTGACTCTGTGGGAGAAAGCTGAGGCTTTCTGCTTCCATGAGGAAACCTCAGAAACCCTATACAGGGTCGTTATAAGCTGGAGCTGACTCCACAGCACACAACCACCACCACATACATATTAAAAAGTAAAGTTCTTTGATGGTTACCAGGGATGGGAAGGGGAAGAAGAGGGAATCACTTTCTAGACAGCTGTTACATGCTGTCGAGTCAGTTCCAGCTCTCAGTTGCTGTGAGTTTCTGAGGCTATGGAATCATTGCAGGAGCAAAAAGTCTCATCTTTCTCCAGAGAATCAGGTGATGGGCTCGAACTGCCGACCTTGCCATTTGCAGTCCAGGGCTTATCCTACAAAGTCTCCACAATCCTTTCTAAATAGTTGTTGTTGTTAAGTACCATCAAGTTGATTCCAACTCAGCAACCCTGTGTAACATTTCTGAAGCTGTAAATCTTTGCAGGAGCAGAAAGCCTCATTTTCCTCCTGTGGAGCAACTGGTGGATTTGAACCACTGACATTGTGATTCACAGTCCAATATTTTATTCTACAGAACTACCGTGCTCCCTTCTAGATAGTAGATACTTGTTATTTTTGGTGATAATGAGTATGTGTAAAGTCTGCACAACTTGGCCAAGGTAAATGATGATACTAAGAAACACACAAGAAAAAGGGACAATTTTGGTAAATACTATAGCATATGCAATTTTGCAACAACAGTAACAACAAACAAAAAATACAAGTGGTTACATAGGCAGATGTTTATGCATATGTATATATGAGTATATGGGTGTGCAAATATAGGTGTATCAGTCATATACTTGCATATATATATGGTATGCCACTGTAAGAAAAGCTGATTAACAAAAGGTCAGCAGGTCAAACTCAGGTAAACCCTATACAGGATCGCTATGAGTCAGAACCGACCTAACAACACCTACTGTATAACAATGTGTACATGTTTGTATGTGCTCCATATGTATTCATATATGTAATATAATGCATAGAAAGCACAATTATGTATACCTCCTAGACATAAACCTCACAAACCTAGTTTACTAGGTTTTAAGGTTTAGGACCATAGTCTCGAGGGACAACCCAGCCAATTGTCACAACATAGTTAAGAATATATTGTTCTACACCTTAGATTGTTGAGTAGAATCTGGTGTCTTCAAAGCTTTCAAGCAGCCATCTAAAATACTATTAAAACAGGCTGCTAACCTCAAGGTCGGAAGTTCAAAACTACCAGCCATTCCATGGGAGAAAAATAAGGCTTTCTGCTCCCGTAAAGATTTATAGCCTCAGAAACCCTGTGCAGGGTCATTATGAGTTGGAACTGACTCCACTTGGAACAGAAACCAGAGGTCAGCTTTCAGCAAATAATAGGCTGGTTCATAAAACAAACAACATCACTCAGGACCATCATTTAACTGGGCAATATTTACCCTGAAGCACAGATGAGAAGATAAAGGAGATTTAATGGAAACAGGACAACTAGAACGAAAACAATAAAAATACTACATACTGTGGTAAATGAGGCCATCACTGCACAACAAATAAGAACTTAATTTTCTGTGTCAATTTTTACCAAAGAATCCAATCAAAGAAAGATAAAAAAGAACCATAATGAGATACTACTTCAAACTCACTAGGGTAGCTGTAGTGGCAAACAAACAACAACAAAGACGTTGGTGATGATGTGGAGACACTGGAACCCTCATCCATTGCTGGGGAAAATGTAAATGATGCAGCCACTGTGTAAAACAATTTGGCAATTCCTCAAAAAGTTATACATGGAATTACCATAGGACCCAGCAATTTCACTCCCAGGTACATACCCAAAAGAATTGAAAGAGGGATTCAAAACAAATGCATGTATACCAATGTTCACCGCAACATTATTCACAATAAACAAAAGGTGTACCGAACTCAAGTGTCCACTGGCAGATGAATGGATAAGTTAAATGTGTGGTGTAGCTGTACAATGGAATCTTACTCAGCCATAAAGAGAAATGAAGCATTAATATATGCTACAATATGGATGAGCCGTGAAAACATGAGGCTGAGTAATAGCAACCAGACTCAACAGGTCACATTTCGCATGATTCCATTCATATGAAATGTCCAGAACAGACAAATCCAGAGACAGAAAGCAGAGAAGCTGGTGCCCGAGGTTAGTAGTGGAGGAAAACGGGAAGCAACTATCAGGGTTTTTTCTGACGTGATGAAAATGTTCTGCAATGAGATGGTGGTAATGGTTGTACAATGCTATAAATGTATTAAATGTTACTAAACTGAATTATACACATTAAAATGATTAATTTATGTGAAGTGAATTTCACTTCAATAAAATGTTTTTTAAATGTAAAATCTCAATATTTTCATGTTGAATCCATGTTTAAATGGTAATATTTAAGGTATATTTGATTTAAATGAATTTCAGGGGGCTTCCGACAAGATGGTGGACTAGGCAGACACATTACACGGATCCTCTAGAACAAAGATATAAGACACAAAATTGCACACTGACACAGATGAAAATTCAGCACCCTGAACTTCAGAGGAAAGGTTGGAGAGGTGGGTGGAGTGCTTGCTGGGAGGAGAAACCGAGCATAGATGTTGAGAGAGGGAGGCTGACTGGTGAACAGCTAGCCACACATAGCTCCACCATCTTGCGAGCAGTTTTGGCAGCAGAGTGAGGCCTGGCAGGGCAGAGTCCCGAGGGCAACAAGAAAGGTGCAATTCCTTCTTTTTTCCCATGCTCCCCTGGTGACCAGAAATATAACTTGTTCCCCCACCCTCAATCCACCACCATCGCAGACCCTGCTTTCCAGGAGTTCAGAGCCATGTGGTTGGGAGCCATGCAAGTGTGAGGTGGGGGCTGGCTGTGCTGCTCTGGTATGCTGTTTTGGTGCCTGTATTCAGGTGGGCTCAGCTCAAGGCCTACAAAACCCTCAGAGCCACCAGACCCAGAATTTAACCAGTCACCCTGCCGCAAGCTGCTCTGTGGTCCTAACAGACACTGAAACCAGCTCCAACAAGGACCCCTTCTGGACTGAAAGCCAAGGCCAATATGAACTCCAGCTAGGGCTAAGAACTCTGCTGTCACATCCCTTCCAAGACCACCTTGTGAGTTCCTTGAATTGCAGGAGCCCCAAAAGATTTCTCCCCTCTAAGTTCAACTGCACTGTTTGTTTTCACAAATATGACAACCTCACAATGCCCCTGATTCAGCAGACAACTTTAGCTCACACAACGAAACAAGAGAGAATGGCTCAAACAAAGGATCAAGACACAGAATCAGAAGCCATTTCTAAGGAAGAAATGGTAATAAAGCTAATTGAAAAAGAATGATAATTAGGTACCTTCAAAGGATCAATAGAAAGATGAAAGAAGGCAAGAAGAACACAACAAAAACTTTAGAATTCAGGAAAATACTACAAGAACAAACAGACAAAATAAGTGCAAAATTTGAAACAATACAAAACTTGTCATTAGAAATCCAGAAGATTAATGCTGAGATCTCAGAAATGGACAACACGTTGAAAGGGCAAAGGATTAGATGCAAAGTAATGGAAGCCCGAATTAGTGAGCTTGAAGATAAATTTCTCAATACTAGTAAACTAGAACAACCAGAAAAAAAATGAAAACATCTGAAGAAAGCCTAAGAGTTATGTGGAAGACCATGAAGAAGAACAATTTATGGGTGATTGGAATTCCAGAACAGGAAGGAACAAGCACAGAGAAAATTATAGAAGAGTTGTTGGAAGAAAAGTTCCCTAACATCATGAAAGACAAGGAGAGAAGTGTACAAGAAGCTGAACAAACCCTGAACAGAATAGATGCAAAAAGAAAATCACCAAGACATATCAAGACGTTTCAAGAAGGCAATGGAATGACATATACAAAACTCTGAAAGAAAAAAAAAACTGCCAACCAAGAGTCATGCACACAGCAAAACTATCCTTCAAATACGATGGCAAAATCAGGCTATTTCCTGATAAACAGAAAGTAAAGGAATCTGTAATGACCAGACCAACTTTGCAAAAAATGCTAGAAAAGCAACAACAACAGACAACAACCTGAGATTAACATACATGACACCACCCAGAACTCAATCCAGTATTTATTTAAAGTGAAACAAACCTATAAAACTGAAAATGGAGAGGCAGAG